CTATAATATGAATCGATCAACATTTTCAAGCACTTTTGTAAACACAAGTTCCACTATGATTCATTATATTATTTTAACTTTGCATTATATATTTACACAATGTTTATAATATCATTTGTATTTTAAACACTTTTTTCGAAATTTAATTTCTTTCCGAAAAGAACTAGGCGCGCATATCTTTCAAGAGGTTGCTCAGATTCAAGGGCGTCTTAGCGAGTGAGAGGCGACACTGCCGCCCTTCGCCGTCCCTAATGCACCCGGTAGGAAACCAGTGCACAAGTATTTCCATCGATCCAATTTCTTTAACGCACCTTCATGTGGGGTGAAAAACGGAAAAGGGGAAGAAAAACGGCCCAAGTGGAGGTTTTCGTTTACTCAGCAATGATTAGTTACAACTTTGTTCAGGTGGCGCTTTATGTTTTAAGTCTGCATTAATGACATTTCATTCGGTTCAATTATAAAAAGTTAAGATAAACACATAAAATTTCATGCTATGTCGTTCTGGTTTTGGAACTAATGGAATTGAAGCAATAATACTTACAATAAACAGGAACCACAATTAATCGAATTACACTCAAACGATTATTTGCTGTTTTGTTCATACTTTGCTGGGGATCTAAGAGGAGGATTTAAAAATATGTTTCGTTTTGTGTTTGTTTACCAGTTCTTCAGATATTCTATGTTAATTTTCCATATTGAAGTATTTTATGTTCGCATTTCACGTGCTTTTATTTACCATGTTTGCAAGAACTGATTGAGTGTTTCTATAGGGGGACGTTCAGTAAGCATCTAGAAGTTTCACTAGTTGACTAGTATGTTTATACCTGCAACTGTCATCACCCCGAATGACGGGGATTGTGGGGAAGTAGAAATGTTCAGTGCAAGTGGTGTCAGGGGGATCGGGCGGTGGCAGGGGGAGGCCGTAGTAGGAATATCCTTCACCTCTCACGCTAGGTCAGGGTTAACCGTGCCCCCGAGCCCCGAGCTCGCCGCGTCTTCGACCTTGGATGCGGTGCGTGCTAATGCACTCTCACCATATGCTAGGATGGGAGGTGGAGTTTGTACGAACGAATGAACTAGGCTAGAAACGATCATTTTTCGTTTTTACTCCAATGAGCTACAGTATAGACTTCAGCATTAACCATTCTGATTGACAAACATTTAGACGATGTATAATCAATTGCCAGTTCCCATATACGTATACTGTACCTACGTATACTAAATAGAGTACATCATAAAACAAAACGTCTCTGGACATGCGTAGCCGATACCCGAATTTTCCAATAGTCATATTGCTCGCAGAATCACGTTGACAACCTTATAACTACCGGAGCAGAGCATATAATTCATTATCCGTACGAACAAAGATGTAGTAGTCGAAAGTGGATTCTGGCTCGTATTATCTTAGGTTGGGAATGGCGTGTGGTGTCTATAGACTGGCTGTTATTGTGTTGGGTTAAGGTTGAGATTGGCGCGGGGTGGTGGTCGATACGGCTGGGCCGCGCCGATCGATAGAGGGTTGTCGCCTTGCACCGTCCGAAGCGTGCCTACACAATCACAATAGAATTTGCGTGAATACCTCCTAAATGAGGACTTTGGGGAGTTAGACGTAGGCAAACTCCATTGCAGCGTTCTATTTGGACAAGCTGATTAGTGAAATCATTATATATTTCCTTGAATGAAATCATCGGATATGTAGAGGTATAAGTTTAAATACCTCATTCGTATGTCGTATTTGTACAATGTCATATTTGTTTCTACCTTTATTGTTAATACGTGAAAAACTCTATCAGTAAAAATAAATTTTATATACACTTATGTTATGTATATGTTCTGCCTTATTTAGGGATATTATTGTTATGAGGATCAAATAGGTTACTGGTATTCTAAAGGATAGTTATTAATGAAGAACTCGTGTTAGTCTATTATATTATTAGAAAGACAAGCTAATTTGGGTATTATTCTTATTATCTTTACCCATGTATATCCTATATACATATGTCATTATTTTATATCGGCGTAGAATTAGGTTCTATGTCATTGGACTTTATCAAAAACTAGCTTTTCAACCCGCACATGTATCTGAAGCATTCCTCTAAAATCACTTTGTTTATTGATGAAGATCCAATAAAAATCTTTTGTGTAGCTTAATATACTTCAGAAAGCGGCTTTGTTTTATCTTTAATTTACGATATAATCATATCGCTCGTTTTTTAGTGACAACCAAAAATAAACCAAGGAAGCAACAGTTGATATTGCCATGCGTGCGAGATTATCAACATGACAAACATGCTGATCGATTTATATACTAATATCAACAAGTACTTAAATAGGTTATCGCTTTGCAGGATTCCGATAAGCTCACGTACCTACATTAGGTAAGTAATAGATTAGTAGTTATGAATGCCGGATCGATAATGTTCTATCGACTACTTATTCACTAAATGTAACGAGATTTTATAACTTTACATAGCTCGTGATGGCGATTTAATGCGTGAAATCATCATTCAATCAAGTTAAGCATAGGATGAGTGTTTAAAATATTATTATATCGAACTCTTCCGTGCTTTCGGGGTCTCGTTGAGCCGTTGGGTCTGTATCTTCAGTCGTTAATACACGCCAATTAGCACTGGGTCCGCGTGGTGGTTCATGGCATTTTCTCCCTATCCAATTCCATTCACAAGTAAGGCCTGTGCCCCACGAGTGGGCTGGTAATGTATATTGGAATAAAAAATCGATAATGTGTGAATAGCATTGTAGCAAATTATTAAGCACTTTTAAAACAAATCAGTAGTTTGTAATAATTAATTAAAAACCTTTTTTGCCGTGCAATTCGCATGTTGCATCCCTGACTATCTCATTGTTATTGTCATTGTGCGCAAAAAATATTCAGAGACACTGATAATAATAATAAACATTAAACAACATCATATACATTGCTCAGATTCCAAGATGAGCAGCTAAAGCCCCCGTATTATGGAGTATCTGAGACAACGAAGATCACACAACACCCAGACCCGAGACAATATAGAAAAGTTCATTTTCTATATTAACCCGACCGGGAATCGAACCCTGATATCATTTTACTTTCCCTTAGACATAGTTATAGTGTTGTCATTTTTTATTACAGGTTATTTGGAGTATATTTCTTTATTTGCAATCAATTTAAAATTTATAATTAGTTTAGAAGCCCTATTAACAAAGGTTACGTAGTGTGTAAGCAGTTCATCCCTTTGTAGACAAAAGTCCATGAACAATTCCTACGGTGTGATATATCGAGGGAACCATTTCTATAGTGGCAGATCGCCAAGATCCATTATTGCACAGTATCTATTCATATAATCTTGACTTTCATGATAGTTCAGAAGAATCTGAAAAAAGGTTTTAGTTACCCGTCCTCCCGATAATTAGATTTATAGTATATTTTAACTAAAATTAGTTATGAACAAATATGTTATTTTAACTAAAATTAGTTAAAATATAATAGCATATCAGTCAGGTAATACAAAAATAACATATTCTCTCTTAAATATGTTTGTAATAATATACCTAATTGATTTTAATGCATTAAAAGTAGAACACAACACAATCATTGGCGACAAATGAGTTGTTTGGTTTAAAGAGAAGCCTTTAAACTAAACAAAAAACCAGCGACACTCACGCAGAGGGTTCCACATAAATATAGAATTTAAAGAAAACCATAGACTTCTAATAGGTTTTCTTGTTATCACTAGATTACGACTATTTCAAAAAGTAAAATAAGTATATTTGACTATTTTCTGTATTTTTAAAATTCGTTTATTTACATTACACGATCGTCTTAAGATATCCAATTTATATGTTCTGTAGGTACCAAATTTCAACTCAATTGATGTAGTAGGTTAAGAAAAAATCAACCATGATAAACAAGACATCCTAGAGAGGTATAAATAGGCAGACAGAAAACGGGTTTGTTTTGAGGTGCGATACCAAAGTTTTGGTTGTTTACAAAATTGAAAATTGTAAAATTTCGCTAGATTAAATAAATTCAGTGTAGTTTGTGCCAAGAGAAACTAACCAGCTATGCTATTCAGTAATAAAATCAGACAGGAACTCGACGTCGAGCGCGCTGTTATAACATAGAGGTTCAATCAAAAAACCGTTATTACCTGTTGAAGAAGGTTTTATTCGATTGAACCTCTTTGTCGACCGCTGGTTTTATTACAGAAAATAGCATTACTGTTACAGAGTGTAGTTCTCACCTGGAAATTAATGGTGGAGGTGACAATTCTCATGGACTCCGCGTAGTTCCTGAGCACAGAGTCGGTGCTGAGGCAGCTCTGTCGCCACTCGTACAGCTGGTCCAGGCGGGTGACGCAACGCTCGCAGATCTTCTTCGGCAGGAAATCGTCCTTCGATATCTGCTGGAGGAATGAAACAACCAGTTGGTTAGGATAACTTGATAAAACATAAAAAAAAAATAAAAGTAAAGTCAAGGTAAGACCTTACGAGTTTTAATGGTAAAATTATAATTCATTTTAAGATAATAATATAAAATTGTAAGGGCATTCTGGCATTGTCTTCAGATAAATTCTGATTGGATTGAACTAGGTATTTAGTTATTACATATTATGAAAAGTTTTTCAGTAGGATAAAGCACTGTTTTATAATAATTTCTTAGAATAGTTTTTTGAAGATAGAAACCATTTGCTGTGTTTTTATATATAAGTAGCTGTTTTCCCGCGTCTTCACCCGCGTGAATTATACAAATTAATTATACCCGCGTATGAAGCAGCTTCCCGTAGGAAAAAAGGAGAAAGAGTTTTAAAATCGCTCCGCTTACGCAATAATGGTCAGCGTACGAAAATTAACAATAAAAACCACTGAGTTTTCTATACCAATATATTAAAGAGGAAAGACTTGATTATTTGTATTGAATAAGCTCCAAAACTACAGCTTATGTAACGGTTCGTGTTAATCAATTCACAGAATTTCTAAATATATTCTGAGCTTTTATATTAATAAGTAAAACATTCGTTACGGATGTACGTGTAAAGGAAATATAAGCTCCAAACTATTGTTTAATGGAAATAATTTTATATATACATTTTATTAAAAAGTAAGTCTTATTTCAAACTACTTTAAAACTGTTTTATCGCTTGTATTTTTGAAAAATCATTTCATCTTTCAGACCTTTCGGATCATTTACAGGTTCACTTAGGTACACTAAGATATTGGTCGCCTGTAATAAATAAAAGCATAGCTTACTTCAACAAATTCACGATACTGTATTTGATTATGTAAACGTTACTCGTCAAATAATTTTTTTAACCATAATCCGTTTATAATCAAGTTCAAAATGAATTGTGGCAATTTGATATTTTGACGCCAGCTTAATGTAATTAATAGTGTTGCTAGATGCACAAGTATTCTGGGAAAACCAGACGTAGATACTAATTAAGTATAATTTATCTGTGTTCATTCTTACTATCGACTAGCTATTATCCGCAGCTTCACTCGCGTTGTTGCCTATTATCGCGGATAGTGCACTATCCGCGTAACAAACATTTTCGATTAGAACTTCAATGTCCTCACTTCTGGGATTCTGCCTATGGATGGCATTGAATCTAATATGGCCAGTGGGTAGGGTTGCCAACTCTCCCAGTATTCCGGGGTTTTCCCAGAAGAAAAGCATTAGATTACGGTCAACTTTAACTATTGATGTTAAATGTCACAGATGCAGTTAATGGTTTGTTATAGTCACGTAGTCCCGTACTACTCACTCTGTAGGGATTCCGGGAATAATCCCACCTCTGACCTATTTCCCGTAGCCTCACGATAGACGTAATATTTCTGTTACAAACATTTTTTTTTAATGCCAGTATTGACTTTTATGCGTCATTCATCGTTACGTGTTAATATTTGACGACTTCCGTAACCGACAGCGGTCAGTTGCTTAGGCAATTTTAAGCTGTAATGAAAGTTCTAAATTTTAATATTTGTGTTGGCGATGTCGCTTTAAACTAATGATAATTCTAACGGACATTTGTGCAACTGGTGTTTCAAGGTGTCGACATGATTCTCGGTCCACGTAAAAAATGAAATTCTTGTATTCTCTCTACTTTGGTTCTCGGGATATGAGAGACCTGTGTTGTTTCAGATTTAATTATTACATTTAGCATTAGCTATTTGGGATCTAAGAAATGTTTACTTATATTAAAAATAGTTTATGTTTTTAATTTCATTTGTTTGTCGGAGATGTTACTGGTGTATGATGTAGCTTCCCGTAGGTAAAGGAATTTTCAAAATTGGTCTAGTACTGTCGGAGTCTGTTCTATGCACACAAAAAATCTTTCCCCTTTATTATATTCGACATATGTTTCATATGTATCCATACTAATATGGCAAATAATTGATCGTTTGTTTGTTTGCATCGAATAATCTCCGAAATTAATAAATCGTTTTTTTTACCTGCGGGAAGCCACAATACATACGCGGAATAAACGCGAGCGAAGTCGCGGCAAAACGACTAGCATTATAATGAAATTGTATTATCATCACGTAATATAGGTAAGAATAAAGTGAGAGTTTACTACAGGATTGCTACCATATGTAAAATACGTTATGTCACTTGTTTTAAATAAGGCTTATTCTAATTTCCATATTGCATGTCAACAATATAATAGTTTTATTTATGATTTGGAAATATTTTCTGTCACATATAATATAAAAATTAATAAAAATCTTAAATAATTTTCAACCTTTTAAAATGAATTATTTTGTTTTTCAATATCCGGCAACTAACAATAATATGGCTTACGTATAACGTAATCTATTATTGAAAAACTTGTCATGGAGCTTAGTAAAAATTTAAATAATTAAAAATAGAATATACAGTATTGTGCTGTTTAAATAACACCATACACTTAACAATATCGGTAGATTTCAAGAATTGGTAAATGCAAATCGTAATTTTACTTTGTTTTGTTGATAATTAATATAGAAAAAATATATAAATGCTAGATATACTGAGTATATTGTAAACAAATAATATTGCATAATGTCACAAAAAATCAACAGGTAACTCGGTGGGCTTATTGGATTCCTAATTTCTTGTTATCGTAGCAGATCGTAGCGCGCAGGCGTCTACGAGGCTGCGGCGGGCGTCTGCTATGGTGCCCTTATTACTCGAAAAAAATTCTTGACGTCAAATACCTGTGCATATGTGTTTACATTAAATATGAACCTAGTCGATAGCAGTACTTTTATGATTAATATGATATTTACAACTGTGTTCAGTGTCATGTCTTAAGATGGTATGTGAATTCAAGGACGCAACGAAGGGCGTATTTGAGATGTTCCATCACTCACCATAGTAGGCAGACAGGTCCTCAACTTGAACAAAATCTGCCTCTGCTCGGACTCTTTGTCGAAGATGTGGAGTCTGGGTCCACTTTTGAGCGAGCAGAGGCGACATAGGTCGGTGAACGCCGTGAAGTTGAGGTCCTCGGGCTCGGTCATGGCGAAGCACCTGATGAGGAGGTCGAGGAGGCAAGAGTTGTCCATGTATACGGCGGTGGTTCTCGGGTGGCGGGAGACGGGTCAACGCCGCATGTCGCGGGTGCAGGGAGGCGTCGAGCCGCCGCTGCGTCCGGGGGGCACTGAGCGAAGCCACCCGACCCCCTCCCGCCCGCCGACGACCCCTCGCCCCCTCGCGACCCCCTCGAACCCCGCGCCTCGCCGCACGCAGCCCCCGAGCGCGGGGTGGCCGGAAAAGCGCCAGTTTTCCTATTTAATGGCCGTCTGCAATTGCTCATCGGTTTCTTATTGATGTATGCGACTTTATAGCCACAGTTGCCTTTCAATCCATATTTCGCGCATTCTATTCGATTGTGAAGGTTTTCTCTCTCTTTCTTTTTAACGTAATTGCGGATATGAGTTTACAAATTGAAATTTAATTATTGACAAAAGAGATAATATTTAAAATAAAGTTAAAACAAATTATTATCTTTACTTTAATCAACTTTACTAAAACAGATAATCATGTTCAAAATATCTAAAACACACGAAAATGTACGAGACAAAAAGCGTACAGACAAATTTTAAGACGTGTTCATTCATATTGTTGATAAAACTTATTATTTTGTGATCGTAAATACAAAAAGTACTTAACCGAATAAAAAAAAAAAACAGTAAATTACTCTATCGTCACTAACATAGGCTATATTTATTCTCAATGCTTATAGCGAAAGCTCGTAGTAAGAGTATACAGATTAATTTTGTATATTAGTACCAGCACTATGCCTGAGTCTACCTACTGAATATCTTATCTAAATATTTCTTGTATTCCTATACCATTTGAGACATGATTACAAATTATATAGAGCAATCAAAGAATGAACTATATAAGTATCTATACGAAAAAGAAAGAGAAAAGAAAATGTCACTCAGGATGATGTAATGTTTTTAATGATATCTTTACATTAATATCCGTTAATTTGTTTATAATTTTATGATGAAATAAAGAAAATGACATTCATTAACCTTAAACACAATGCACTGTTTTTTGGTAAAAAGTTTTCATGAAGTTTCCCTACAGCCTGAATATAAAAAAAGCAAAATGTTTCCTACGCAAACATGACCTCATTTGTCGACACAAAAACGTCGCTCACAGATGTCATCAGCCAAATCTATTCCATAAACAATTTATAAACGACAAATAAACATATATAAATGACAATAGCTATACCTTTGAAGTAAACACGTAAACAATTCATTATTTCGCAAGTACCTGTTAATGTTTAGTGTCTCTTATTTATATTAAAAGGTTTATTTGCGATGTCTGTGGCGTCATCAGAATCTGCGGCTGATTACCATGCGTTCTCCGAGAGGACTCTTGCTTTGATAAAACCAGAAGCTTACGATGATGCAGAGGCTATAGAAAATACCATTATTAACAACGGATTTAGCATACTTGCTGTAAGATAAACCGATTTCATCAATGAAGGCATGTAGAAATACAAAATTGGGTTGTTCGGAAAATTGACCTTTTTTAGTGAAAATGAAATACTATTTTGTCCTGGGATTTTTCAAGTAGTTTTCATTAAAGATATTATAATAGTAAAATAAAGAAGAAAAATTTGATTGTTTGCATTTAACAGGCTCCGAAACTACTGGCTCGATTTTTTTTTAATACTTTCATTTAAGACATGTATCTTATTCCTCCATGCTTTTTGGAAGCTATATAGAGGTATATCACCCCCATACCTGTAATCTACGCGTACGAAGTTGCGGGAATTTAACTATTTTGCATATAATTGTTGTGATTCAGGATAAATGTCCACATTTATCTGAACACAGAATGTCTAATTAAAAGCGTGTTGAATTTCTTGTGGTTAGTTAAATTATACCGGTTGTTTGTAAACATCTGTAATAATAATTAATTTGTAGACAAAAATATTAGTAGCATTTGTATGAACGAAGCGTAATTCCGAGGCCAGTCAATGAGGCAGACAGTAGACTATAGCGAGAAAAAATGGCCCAGAATGTATTTGAGTGATTCCTGGAACCGGTTATTAAGACCCGAGAATATTTAATATTCCCCTACTCCATGGTTCGATTTCTTTTTGATCGTTATACCAAGAATACTTTTCTCAGAATTACCCACTTCATTTAATTAATACAGTTATTGTAAAATCACTACTTTATAAATTTAAAAGAAAATAAAATTATTGCAGGAAGAAATTAAATATTGTCCACAATTAAATTATTATTAAATTCGAATTTTAGAGGTAATTTTGTATTTTGTAGGGTTCCATAACTAAGGGAAAAGTGAAACCCTATCAACTCACTAGGCTGTTCGTCTGACAAAGCTTATTTTCTCCGAAGTCTGGGTGTTGTGGTACCTTCATTGTCCCAGATACTCCATAATATGGGAGCTTGGAATATAAGCAACGTATGTGATATTGTCTAATATATTTATTTATTATTACAAAAATTTCCGGGATCTATATTCTATAACATAGGTGTCATGAATGTGTTTTTATGACAATCTTAATTTTTTATATCTTTTCATTATTATAAAATAGCGATAAAATATTGTGACAAAAGACAGAAAGTCGTTAAAAAAGCTGACCTATCGTATTATTATCGCGGCAAAAGTTTACAAGTCTATACGGCCCTAATTACTGCTACGAGGAATGCTACGAGAATTTGTAGCTTGTGATTTCTTATTGTCAAAGAAACTATATTAAAATATAATGGACTGTTTGTAACTGTTAGTCACTCCTTTGGTTGACCCTGAGTGATATCCATGACGTCAGACCCTAGTGCGTCCAAAAATGTGACGTCAGTTGAAATAAATACTTTATGAGATGAGGGGAATTGATATTCAATACTTAAATGTTATTATAATATAAACTTACGGTTTTCGTATAGTGAAGAATAGAAATCGTACTTTCATAAATGAATTTATTTATCTATGCTTTCTTTTAAGTTTAAGACATTGCAAATTTTCACAGATGTGTAGATATAATTGAAAATTAATAACAGATGTTATTTTTAAACTCATGCCTATTATAAAACTAAATTTCAAAATCAGCTCTTAGTAGCTTTGAGATTTCATTAATTCTTTCAATTCGGTCACTGTTTGCTAGGCTATTACCGTTTGAACTTTGGAATGCTAGGCTACCATAGTATGTCAAAATTCTCCTACTTACAATACAATAGGTTTAAAATTATGTGGAGATATTTGAGTACATATAACCTGACATAAGTTGACTGTGCCTCATATATACCTAAGGTAAGGTAGGTAGCAATCCAGTACCTAGCAATCATTTTAGTATTAATGACCATGGAAGTTTAAAACAAAGTATCACATACACTATTCCTATCCCAAACTATGTATATCAAAATCCTTATATAATGTAAATCTGAATAAAAAAGTTATTATAAAACTCAGACCTGAGACAAAACCTGAGACAAATACAAAATAAAAGCGTAAAATATACCACTAGGCCTTGGAGGTCGGAAGTAAAATACGACATTCTGTTTGTGTAAGAAGTTTAAAACCTCTCTTTAGTGTATCGTAGTTGAACGGCTAAAACAAAACCCTTTATTGATTCGTCATGCCGTTCTGTCAATTCATCTGGTGTCACAGTCACTTTATCTTTTTTTTTGGGGTCCGTAGTAAACAAGGAACCCTTATAGCTTCACCATGTCACCATTACACAGAAAGTGGCAAAGTGGTAAAGTTTACTTTACCACTTTGTCGGTGTAATTAACTTCCCTATAGTCTTCCCTATAGTGTGGGACATCGTTGGATAGGTCTTTCAAAGACATTGGACGTGTGCCCGTTTTTCGTTAGAGTTAAATGTCCCCTCCTCTACCATTTAAACATTTGTCGGTAAAAATTCAAACGTTACGGCAGAACTACCCATTCATAACACTTAAGTTGGCTTTACAAGTTTAAGAGTAATAGTCGACCAATTGTGTTTAACTCGAAAACTTTGAACAACGCCATAGAACATAACAAACGTGTTTTTATTTACTTTTTCTACTGGATAATGGTGCAGAACCCTTCGTGCGTGAGTTCGACTCCACTTGGCCGGTATTTTTGCTTTGAACACAATTCAAACTTGGTAAGTATTGATCTTTCTAAACCGATTTATTTTAATATAGACAGTCCGATTATGAATGTATGTTTGTATGAGATCTGTAACGTAGTATCGCGTCATATAGGAGGGGAGCAGTGTGTCCGGCAAAATGGGTCCGTATGCAAATATCAGAACAGAAAGGGGTTGTCATACACAACCCCTCGTGTGTGGGTCTCTGCACTTGTTACTTTTGTTTTTTGTGAGTTCAATGGTGACCTCAGTGCTTGAAACCCGTCTAACATCGTTGAATTTCATATATAACTAGAATATTTTCGAATTAAGTACCGTCTTAGAATCGTAGGTGTTGAGATATTTAATTTGAAATAAAATAAATATATTAAGGGCACTATTCCATATAAAAACTATTCGATATCTTTAATTGAATTACATATGGTGTTCAAAATTTCATAAATCTCAATAAATCTCGTCTCGAAATTTTACATATAGGTATAAAGATTGTGTATTTATATCCGAGAATTTATAGGTTCGTATTTGATTGCAGTCTATTTAGAAATATCATAGTATGATATTAATATTACTGCTTTTTAATTGATTTTCTTCAAGAAATAATGTGAAAAGAAGAAATCATACTCATATTTTTATATACTAAGGAGTTTATTTTATTATTGGCAAAGTTACACTCTTCAATCATTGTACCTATATTAGTTTTTTAAGGACGTCATTCCAGTGTTTTCCCTAGGTCGCCAAGTTCCAGTGTTTTACCTAGGACGCCAACTTTCATTAAGCCGGCGCTAGCAAAATTGACTACTATAGGGAGAGATCGAATTGCGTATGCAAATTGCAAAAAACAAAACTACACTCTCATCTTGGGCAAGGGTTGATAAGCTCGTATTGCGAGCACACGAC